AACTAAGAGATGTCGACACAGCTAAGTTGACGGCGTGCGCGCAACAATGGATGCTGAATGTTATACAATACCGCTCATAATTCATCAAAAAAGTCGCCGGACTGCGGCGCACTCCGCCACACTCCGCCGCAGTGCGCCGGAGTGTGGCAGAGTGCGCCGGAGTGCGGCAGAGTGCGCCACACTCCGCCGCAGTGCGCCGGAATGATCGTCAATTTAGCCATATCTCGCTTCAGAATGGACGAATTCTGAATCCGAGGACACCGTTCGATTCAGCTCGGCGAGACGCATCATCTTATATATGAAGCTGAATGTCTGTTTGTCTGTTTGTCTGTACGTATGTTCCGAATAGAAAAATCCATTTCTGAACCGATCCGGACCAAACTTGGCACACATACACTTCGGGCCCCGGCGGGTGTCATAAGGTACTTTTCGTCATCGATCGATATCGATTTTATCGATTTTTATCGATTTTTTTGCAGAGTTCACCTACGGGGCTGGGAGTTTGCATAGGGGGGTAATCGAGCATGGGGATTCCGAATACAATATTAGTTCTCAGGATTATCGATTTTATCGATTTTTTTGCAAAGTTTGAGCTACGGGGCTGGGAGTTTGCACAGGGGGGTAATCGAGCATGGGGATTCCGAATACAATATTAGTTTTGAGAATTATCGATTATTATTTTGGTTGAATTCAGTGTGCTGATAACAGTATTGCCATTGATCTGTCGCTGATGACACATAGACAGTATACTATGGGAGTATGGTAGAGAGCCACTCTGATCGAATTTGTTCTAATATCTGCTCAAGATCACAATACCGCGCACAGAATATCAAAATTTCCGTGAACTTCGCGGAATTCGGGGATTTCCGCCAAAGTGCGCGATAATCCGGGAAGTTCGCGACAGTTCAGGATCCGCGAAACCATGCGAATCACGCAGAGTACGCAACGCCATAACTTCCTTCGGAATGAATATATTCCGAATCCAGAAGCAGCATTGTGTTCAGATCGTCGAGGCAAATATTTTGATATACAGTATGCTCTCGATATTCCATTTCCAGTTTTTTCGAATTTTTTCTGCTGAGGTCTTTTCGCAAGGATGTAACGCAGCGTCTTTGTAACATAAAAGATTCCAGTAAGCACTGTTCGATAGTACTGTCCTTGTAGGTTATCGTGCGTTCGAGAGTAGCTGCAGACTGCCTCCCAAAAGAGATAGAAGCGTTGGTGAATTTTGGAAAAATCACGCGTTTTTAAATTCTACTCGCCGTAACTTCCTCCGGAATGAACATATTCTGAATCCGAAGAAAGCTTTGTGCTCAGTTTATCAAGGCAAGTCTTTCGATATACAGCATATCCTTGATATTCCGATTTCAATATTTTCAAATCTTTCTGTAGACGTCTTTTCGTGAAGGTATAAAGCAGCGCGCATTGCCCCTAGTAGACTCCAGCAAAGACCTTTCGATAGTACTTATTCTGTGGATTACGTAGCGCTGAAAAGTAGTCACAGACATCTTTCCATAGGAGTTAGAAGGGCTGGTGAATTCTGGAAAAATCATGTCGTTCTAAATTTTTCTCAACGTAACTCTAAAATATGAAGCTCTCTTGCTAAGCAGATGTGATTTTCGTAATCAGCAGGTCGGATAACCCTTATAAGCAAGTTTTCCAAGATGTTCGAGTAATTTCATTTTTTCTCGTTTTGCTCTGAAGCTGGCCGATGGATTTTGGTCAAAATGTTCATGCTCTTAAATTGTAAGGAAACTTCGCTTATAGAGGTTTTCGAACACGCTCTTTACGAAAATCGTGGTCTTTGAGGATTACAGGGTCTTCTTGGAAAGATACGGTGGGGTGACTGTAACTGCATCACGAAAGCTCCTAACTTCGCCTCCACCTCTCACGTGTCTGTCAAAGAACCTGCCTGCTTGCTTTACTAGTCAAAGTTACTAGGAGATGTACTATCGAATGGCGCAAGACTCAGGCTCCAGTCTATGAAATTCGCCGAGTTACGAGCCTAAAAAAACACGTTCTCATGAATTTTGACCAAAATGTAAAGATCGCATATTTCGTCGAAATTCAACCATGAGTGCTTCTAACTCCTACGGAAAGATGTCTGTGACTACTTTTTAGCGCTACGTAATCTACAGAAAAAGTACTATCGAAAGGTCTTTGCTGGAGTCTACTAGGGGCAATGCGCGCTGCTTTATACCTTCACGAAAAGACGTCTACAGAAAGATTTGAAAATATTGAAATCGGAATATCAAGGATATGCTGTATATCGAAAGACTTGCCTTGATAAACTGAGCACAAAGCTTTCTTCGGATTCAGAATATGTTCATTCCGGAGGAAGTTACGGCGAGTAGAATTTAGAAACGCGTGATTTTTCCAAAATTCACCAACGCTTCTATCTCTTTTGGGAGGCAGTCTGCAGCTACTCTTGAACGCACGATAACCTACAAGGACAGTACTATCGAACAGTGCTTACTGGAATCTTTTATGTTACAAAGACGCTGCGTTACATCCTTGCGAAAAGACCTCCGCACAGGGCCCGGCAGGAGGTGTCATTTCAGAATTTTGAAAACGATATCCCCTTTGAAGCCAAAATTTCTTACGACTTCCCCTTTGACCCTATTTTTGACCCCCGCAAGTCCCTGACAAACAGATATACAAAAATAATAAGATGGGCGGCCTCAGCGCTTATTATAGTAGTACTACCTGGCTTTCCTGGTCCGGGTCATCGTTTGAGGGGATGGCCAAAAACCACACTTTGTCCTTCTACCTTCCCTTCCTTTTGGGCCATATTCTCCACCCCTTTTCTGCAGTATCAATACTGCACTGCAGCCTTCCCCTTACCCTCCTGCACGAGCTTACCCCAGAAAGGCTGATTGGAGTGACTGCACCTTCTAATTTTAAAGTGGAATTGAACTTCACTGCATTGTTCACACCAAAATGTGCAAGCAGTTTCTTAGCGGCTGGTAAGTGTTCACTTTCCTTGCGAGGTGCCAAAAATCATTAAATCGATAGAAGAATTCCACGAATTGCTTCGAAGGGCAGCTTAAAACCATCTACCAAGGCCGAAAACATATGTTTTCAGAGTTTAAGCTCAATGGGTTCATCCGCAAAGGAATCTATAGAAAAACATAGGGTCAAGATTTGCACAAACTGACGTTTATATATCCAAAATACTACTCATTTATTAGTCAGCTGCGAAACTTTACAATTTACAATAACCGATTGCGATTGGAGCGCGCTTTCCGAGGCCGATTATAACGCTGTGAACCCTATTTGGGGCTATATCGAAGCGGTGCCTTGGTGGTTTTGGAAGCGGATTTGAACATATAGTAATACTCTCGACCTAGTCCACATTTATGTAAAGAAATCCGGGAAATTATGTGAAGGGAAGCAGGGAGCCACCCCAGGTGGCTCCCAGGTGGCGCGGGAGCCACCTAATTTCGAAAAACACTTACCATTTTTCAAATCCACATAAGTTTTTCATAATTCTTCATACTTTTTTTGTGCTTATGGTCCTCCAACTACGCAGCAAATTTGGTGCCATACCGTTACTTGTGCATTGAAAACGAGCCTATTTTGCTATTTTCCTCTTACAAGCATTGCGATTTGAATTCCCGCCTGCGGGCAGGCTAGCGATCGGAGCACAGAATCTTCACATTGCTGGAATCTAAGTTCATAGGACAGTAGCATTAACAAGGAATGATGAATAAAAAATGATATGTGCATCGTTTATCGATAAACAAAGGGAAAGTCGTATTTTAGGGCGGACCCCAAAATACGACTTCCCCTATGCTTTTTCGGGCCAAAAACGATATCCAGCTTGTGAAAGCGCCACCCCCGCCGGGCCCTGCCTCCGCAGAAAAAATTCGAAAAAACTGGAAATGGAATATCGAGAGCATACTGTATATCAAAATATTTGCCTCGACGATCTGAACACAATGCTGCTTCTGGATTCGGAATATATTCATTCCGAAGGAAGTTATGGCGTTGCGTACTCTGCGTGATTCGCATGGTTTCGGATCCTGAACTGTCGCGAACTTCCAGTACTCTGCGTTGATACCACTGCTT